TAACCTAGGCTGATCTGAATATGCAAATACTTGTGTTTAAGTACTGAAAAGTCTGACAGTCTCTCATATAAATGTTCTTACCAAGAGAAGAAAAAAATTAAAAGTTAACTAGAAAGTCATAGGGAAATTTGCCTTCCCATTACAGATGTCTATGTCCAGCATGGGTGGACTTGGTTGTGTGATACAATAGTGTCTGCACAGCCTCTTCCCTCCCCTTGCAGAGAGGGTTGCTAATAATAAATTTAATCTCAAACAGCAGCTTTAGCACCCATGGTGTCTGCTTGGATGGCAGAGAAACTCTCTCAGCTGTTGCACACAGGGATGGTATGTTACACATGCCTTGCCTGCTCACTAGGCAGGACCCTGTTCCTCCAGTGCGCTGTTAGGGTGGACACCTGCTTGTCTCATCCCCAGTCACCATCTGGGATAGAGGTCCTTGCTGGTAACTGGTTCTCAAACAATGTGATGCTGTTACACAAAATTAAAAGCAGTACAGAAGCATGCTGAAACTTCCAGCAGCACTTTGGCACAGCTTTTCTGGAACTTATTACATTCTTAGTTGTTTGGATAGAGTAATAGCACAACGAAATCCCAGACCTGTCTGAATAATGCCATTTTAAACCTTCATTTTCTTTCAGTATCACAGGGTTTTCAGTAACATTTTTTTTTTGTACTAGTGACATTATATTTGGAAATAAATAGGTGAAATAAACCTATCAGGCTATCACAAAATTATTTTATAAGAGTCTCCTGTTATGCCTCAGTTCATTTTAAAATCTCTGATTCCTTCTGCGATTTCTTTTGGAACCTGTGTCTTATTTTGTTTGTAAGGGAGGAAGGCTTTCCCAAGCATTACTTGTTTACTCAAGAAACACATTAGATGTGAAACTGAAGTGGTATCCAACACTGAAATATTAATAATCAGCCTAAGGCTGTTGAATGAGGCAATTTATACAATCAATACAACAACTTTGTACTTCTGCATTTTCATTCCTTGGCATTTGCTTTCATTGCCTGCTGTAAATGATCCTGCTGGGTCATCCTATTATGGAACAAATTACGGGATTGGATCCAATTAAGAGCTTGGGTGGCATATCAAACCTTTAAGTACTTGCCTCTGCAGAGGAACCCAGGGTCCTGAGGTAGACATTTAGGCTCTTTATCCAATTCCAAGGAAGAGTTAGGACTGGATGTAATCCAAAATACCACTACCTGAGGTGACAGCTGGCTGGCCTGTGAGGCAGAAAGATGCTTATAGCTGACATCTGAGGCAAATAGGATCCATGAACAAACCTTAGTCATGGTTTTGCTTTTCATATTGCAGGGCTCTGTCAGCTTGAACTCACTTCCAGTAACCTCACTTATGAGAAGGAGAGATTTTTATATTTTTTTTAAGGAGTGAGAATAATTTGTCATTTCTTTCAAGACATGGTTATTGGAATACAGATTTTACCTTCCCATACACAGCAAACCATTTTTATTCTCTTTTTTATTGAAGTAAAGCAACCATGGCAGAATAGAGACATTTCAGCTGCCTTCTCCACCTGATCTAGTAAAAACTCACTCATCCCTTTATTCCAAAACTCAATTATTAGTGAGGAGATGTGACTGGGCTGCAAAGAAGCTGTGTTCTCCAACATTCCTGCCATAGTTCTACCAGTTGCGCTTAGTTTTGCCACAGAGAGGATTTTGATATTTATTGGATCAAAAAAAAAGATCAGGATTTTGTTATCTAATGGCCAGGCAAAGTTAGGGAGGAAGAGGGAGGTGATCTTCTATTTTCCATCTGAAGTTTGGAGGAGGAGACTGAATCCTGGTCTCTCTGGTCCTGCACACGTGTTTTCATCACTGAGCTAGCAGTCAAAAGGCCGATGTTCTGTGGCTCCTCTAGCATTTCAACATTTTGAATTCTATTTTTCATGGATGTCAAGCCCACCTGTGTGTGTTAGAAAGCATGGTATGAAGGTACATGCATGACAGGTTTCCTGTGGGAGTAGAGGGGAGCACTGCCCATGTCCTGTGAGCTGCCAGGTCACAGTCTGGATGCAGGCTGCCACATCATTTTCATGCTCTCTTTGGCCTTTGGAGAAGTTCCTGTCCCCATAACCAGGACAAGCACTGATGAAAAAAATAATAAGCTTTATGTTAAAGGAAGGATAGAAATCTGTTAATGATTTTTTTTAAAACTTACATATTTAACTTCAGCATTCAGCTGTACTTTATAGGCAAATTTATGAGATTTTAAGTTCCTGCAGAGAGCAGAAAGGAGGCGCTCAAATCTCAAAACACTCTCTTGAGAAACAACCTAACCAAGGAAGTTTCAGCAGGTCAAACTGAGAATGCTTCCCAGGCAGAGCACTGCAGAAAAGTGACAGCAATGGCATTGCTTTATTTGGAAATGTGGTGAGAGCAGCAGCCACACTGGACTTCTAGTAAAAGCACTCGTGTGATATATGAGAAACCTGTGTTCAATTTTTTTTCACATAGATTCAAACCATCAACACCCCTGTTCTTGTGATTTGAAAGAATTCCATTTCTGTCAGAGAAAATTTAATACAAGGTCTGTCCATCTGAAAAATGGAGAGCAAACAAAAGCTTGACCCTGCATTTTACTAATTTGTACACTTGCCTTTTGTGGTTAATGCATTCTCGTTTTGGCTTAAAGAAGTTTTCACTTGTTGTTGGGGTTTTTTGGGTTTTTTTTGGCTTTCTAATTAGGCAATATCTAATTTATTCTTTATTTTTATGTTGCACTTATCATGTACTTTCCTCTGCAGGTATCAGCTTTCCCATAATAGCCAGTCCATTGCAAGAGACAGAGTGCTGCTGCATGCTTTTATGTGTGCTTTTGAGCTTTGGTTTTTGTTTTTTAGTTTGATGGGAATTGAGAGAACTGCTGTAGTCTAATGCTCAAGCACTGTGAAGACTGACCTTGAGGCTGAAGGCTAAATTTCACACGTGAAAAACAGGACAGAAAGGGAGGTGGAGGGTGATTTTAACTTTCTCACTATTCCAACTGCCTTGGATTATTTCTAAGAAGTATATGTTCAGGATTAAAACAGATGCCAGATGTGTGCCTACCTTTACTCTTTTCACAGGGCTGCAAGACAGTCCACTAAGGACTTGTTTCCCTCGCTGGAGCCATTGAATTCCCAGTTTATTTGGACCCACCATTTCAGCTTTGTTTTCCCAATAATGTGCAAACCTTTCAAAATGCAGTACCTTGTACTCAATAAATAGCAATATATGTGTGAATTTACTTGGATGCATGTGGGCAAGTCTGTATTTTTCAAAGGATGTTGATGTGTCCTTGCCATTGCACTGTCTGGTACACAGGGTTCCCACATGATTATCGTATTAATAATGCAGGCTGAAGTAATTAATCCATATATATTCTGAACCAGATAAATAGAATTTTGCTCATTTATGAGTAGTCTTAAGTGCTTTGTAGTGGGTTCACTAAAGTTGAATTATACTAATTATAATCTTACAGGTTGTTTTTTTTTAATGTAATGCAATACTCTTTCTTGTGGAATATGGGGTTACTCTTGCAATATGAGACATATTTGGTGCCTGTCACTAGTTGGAGACAGTCAGAGAAACAAACCCATCTCAGACTCAGTTTAGAAATGCAAGTAACTATCTAGAGAATTGTAATGTCTGGCTTTTAAAATTTATTACAATTTAGATGCGAGAAGTGCCTACAATTGTTTCACTTATAAAATGGAATAAGGTTTTACAGGGTCAGAAGAGCACCTGAAAAATAAAAAAAAAAAATGGAAGAGGCAATTACATTGTAAAATTGTCAATACAAGCTCATTCTGTGTGAAATAAAAGCAGTCAGGATGACTGAGCTTTATGCAGAAAAAGCTGAAAATCTTTATTTTCCCTGGTTGAATTGTGTCATACTTTAAACTACCATTTTTTGAAATAAATTAATCTTCCTTATCCCAAATGAATCACAACTGAATGCCTTCTGTGTATCTGTTGTAGTAAATGTCTGTAATTTTATTCTAGCTCTGGATCTATTAGTTAACAGAAATTTAATAACAACATGACTGTTATTAAGGAGAGGGCCATATATTTTTACTTCCTTTCCTGAGAGGACTCAGTTGGAATGTATGTTCAGGTAAATCCTATAAGGAATGACAAATACCTGATTAATTTCTAAATTCACCAGTGGCCATCATCAAAGTTTACCTCATAGGCCAAATTTACCACAGGGCAAAATAGATGAACTAAGCCTGGATGGTCATTGCAAGGATATTAAGAAATATGGGCTATAACAAGTTAAGAATGATAGAATTATAATTATATAAACCCCTTAGGAACATGGTTAGTGAAAGTGCCATTTGCACAAGCTGGCAGCTGTACAGGTACAGAATTTATTCCTCTGGGAAGCCGAGTTCTCTCAATCTGCCCTGGCAGGTTTACACAAACATGGTGGTAGCAGTGCCTTAAAAGCCACACTTCCCCAATTTAGGCAGACTACACTCACCAGATTACAGCAGTCAGAGTTGGCAGACTACTATAGCTTCTTTAGATTGAAAACAATCAATTTTTATTTCCCTTGTACAGCAGTACCTTGCAATTGTGTTTTTGTTCTTCAGAGATGAAGTTTTTCTTAGTTCTCCAAACACCAAAGTCTGATAGAAACAACAAATTTAATTTACTGTCCCTAAAAATGTAAGACCTGTTCTGTTTGACTTCACATGTGCTCGCTGTGTATTTGATTACAAACCATTCCTATGGAGAGAGCGATTATTTATGTTGTGGACAGTGGCAGATCTGTTCAGTCAAATTCCTCCCAAAGGGCTCAGTGCACTCAGAGAATAGGAGGAGCATCAGCAGCATTACAGACTGCAGCAAACACATCTCGTGCAAAAGACAGAAGAGCAGAGAGGAGAAAAGAGAAGAGAAAGATTGAGAGAAGACTGTACTGCTTGAGGAAGAAAACATATAAACTGACAATTCAATACATCAGGAGTTACACAAGCAACATGTCTCGATCACCAGGAAGAAAGCAGGAGAACCACAAAATAGTAAGACATTTTTGTAATGTGTTATTCCAATTGTGCATGGAGTAATAACCTATTATTTTATTGATGCATTTTATACACTCCTGTTTCTGAACAATCTGAAAGTACTGAAAGCATAGGGATAAGATTGATGATACAAGAGCAGAGCTGCTAGCAGCATTTATGGCTCCTATTTCTAGTGCTGGGATTCTGTACAGGCTTGGGAAAGAGGGGCACAAAGGTTCTGAGACTGCAATCTGTTCCAAAACAGCAGTCTAAGTGCTTCAAGTGTTTATGGTCTAAGATACAAATGCCAGGTAAGTTTATGTACCTCTGTGGTTAGATAGTCATTCAATGAAACACAAAGGGAAGGAGATCTCTGTTCTGTGCTTGAATGGTTCCATTCCACACAAACCATTCTTCAGGAGCCTTAGGGCTTTCTCTATGGTGAATGGTGATTTTTGACAGGAACTGGGCAGTGGAAAAATTCCAGAAGACTTTAAGACAATGTTGTATCAATTTCTGAAAAGAGGACAGAGGTCTCCACTGAAAAACAAATAAGAGAGTGTAATAAAGTTACAGTTAATATACCTAAGTTTATGGTCAAAAAGTATTCTAATGGGTTGCAAGTGTGGCTGATAAATTTGATTACATTGATATATTATGCTTAAGTTTCTCTGGGGTAATTTTCTTGTTGCAACAGAGACTTTTTGCTGAACAATAATAACAAAGCAATACAGGACCTGTATGAGATTCATTTACTCCATTGAAAACTTGTTACTGAGAATTTGGCCAAAAGCACATTATTTTCAACAGGAGTTATCACTGAAATGAGTTTGGAAAATGGTTCTGCTTAAGTTTTTGAACAATGACTTGTTAAAACAGCAACACCGATTAAACTCCAAACTTTGGATGTCAAGGAAGCAGGAAGAAATCTTTCCACTTAGCTGTTCTTACTTTGCTAGTGTGATTTGTTTTGTTGTTTTTATTGGTATTCCCTATTATTTTTCCGCAGGCTAGAGACAAAAAGCAGCTCTGGTCTGACCACGTCACAGGGCTCTAGCACTTCCTTTAATTAATTCCTGTCCAAGTTTAGTAAGAGTCAACCTACCCTCTCACTTAAAGGACAGCTGCTACTCCTGCTAAATACAGACAGTTGTGCAGTGCATGCATGTGATCTGACAGGGCAGGGAGAGAAGGAAACTCTCCTCCAAACTGTTGCACATCTGAGGACCTGAAGACCCCTGCATGTGGCAGGACCAGTGCAGAGATACATCTTTGACATCTTCAGTTGCTCTCCATGTTCCTTGGGGGCTGCAATCCTTGCAGTCCGTTTCATCTTGCTGTTATTCTTTACCCTTGTACAGAATTATAGTATTTTTCATTATTCTGAGCTAAATTTTTATCTACTTTTTACTTTTTTAGAGAAAGCAGCTAATGATTTGAATCAGATCAACCCTACCTTTGTGAACTGTTGTGCTACTGCAGAAGGATTAATAGCTCATTGCCTCTTTCCCTGCTGCTGTTTGTTATTATTCTTGGATGGCACTTGACAGAATTTGTCAATCCAGCATACAATCAAGATGCAAGAATTAGTGATGATAGTAAACCTGAGTGTGCCAAGAAACGGTACTTCTAACAACCAAAATCCCTTGCAAACTCAAGTGAGGATGAATATAGATTCTGTCATGCTTGAAATGAGGATTTCAGTGATTATGTATCCATGGACAAAAATGTCTTTATTGATTTAAATGTTGGGTTTTTTTTTACTTGCTTTTAATGAGCAGCAGCTTAAAAATGTGGAAGAGTTGGATTTTAGGTCACTTAATTTTTGATTTTCTTATTTTCTGACAGAGCAGAGAACTTTTTGTACTCACATATGGGGCTTTGGTAGCCCAGCTGTGCAAGGAGTATGAAAAAGATGAAGATGTCAATGCCTGTTTAGATAGAATGTAAGTACTGCTTTAAATGTTCAGTTTTATCCATAATGATACTTGTTTACATATATATTACCTTTCAGCTTTTTGTTTGTTATCTCACAACTTCCAGCAGTCTGCCTATGGTTACTGAGAAGACAAGGAAAAGGTTCAATATTCTGTCAACAGAAACAACACTAATTTGTGAATTAAAATCAACAATTAGCTTTTTAATGTGCTGAGGAATAGTGTCAGGATTGTTTTCATAGCTTACACTTGTTCCTTCCTGATCCTTTAGTTATGCTCATTGTTAATATAATCTTCTAAATTTCATATCCTGTATCCCTTACTGGGTTAGGGGCAAATGATCCTCTCACCTTTAAAGGACCTTACAGCAATGAGTGAGATAGCGCAAAAGGTCAGTGAAGGTGGATTTTTACATGGATAACCTTGGAAAATGAAGATTCAATGTTTACAAACCCCGTCATGCTGACTGAGATTCCTAGGCATTACATTTACCATAAAAATAACAATATAATGGAAAATCAGCGAGAAACAACTTTTTAGCTGGTCAACAAGAACATATAGTAAGGCCGTTGTCAGAACAGTAAGGCTTATATTTCTGGGCAAAGTGGACATGCAAAATGGATTTACAAAAATCACAGAGGACAGAATACCCTGACCACTTTACTATTAATCTGAAAGTTTGCAAACTAGCTGTAGTCCAATAACTATCCATGAGAGTAAATTGAGAAAAAAAAAATCATTGTTTGGGAAAAAGAAAAGTAATTTATTCACAAACTTATAAGGGATAACATCCCTCAAATACTTTTTAATATTCGTCTTTCATTCAGCTCTGGTGAAAATCATACCTTTGAAATATGCACACGCTTCTTCAATGATGCCATGATAGAAATTACTAGAGAGCAGTTTTGGAAGACGTGAAGATAGATTTTCCTCCTTATGTTTTCATTATTGCAGTTGTTGTTTCTATGAAATCTTTTTGTTTTGAGGAAGACTTGATCATATAATGTCAGGTTTCATTAAAACAATGTGTTCTTTACTTCTGTGATTATGAAACAGCCCAGCTTCACAAAGAAACCTCACATCTCAGCAGACCTGTGACAGGTGGGGACAGTGTTCTTATCTCTCTCTCTCTCTCTGTGTACATATATAGTCTGTAGTAAGAAGGGTGTTTTTCACTGTACAGTTGCCAAGTAGCTGCTTACCAGTCTGTTATTAATTTGACTTTGCAAATCTAGGGCATAAAAGTTGAAATGTATCTAAGTAGTCTTCTATGTCACTAATACACCTTGCTAAATGCTGATGACACATTTGCCAATGTTATTGATACTGATACTTAGGCAATAGATAAATATTTAATTGTTTCTAGACACATGACATACTGCAATTTTAATCTTCACGCTGCCAAACCCAGTTTTGGTCTCGTCATCAGCTCACTGTTCTCTAGCCAAAGATGTTGTACACAAACCAGTAAAAAAATCCACTGAGTTCAGGCTGCTTCACTGAGGGTGTAGGGCCTCTGACAAACAAGCAGACACTGCCAATATCCACATAACTGGGAATGAAGAATTTCCTAAAAACATTTGTAGCCTGAGTACCCATTCTTACAAGATGTTTGTGTCGATGTCCTTCCATTTTTCAGAAAATGTTTGGAGTCACAGCTGTTTTGCACACTAAGAAGTTATTGGCCTTTGTTAATGTGTCAGAGCTAGGAATGAATATTTGTTTTATAAAATTCCATTATCTTCCATCCCTTTTTGTTTGGTGGTTGGTTCTTTTTTTTGTGTGTGTGTTTGTTGTTGTTGTTGTCATTGTTTGGGGTTTTTTGTTGTTGTTTTTTGTGTGTGTGTGTTTTTTTTTTTTTTAATTGTAGTATTTTAAATACAAAATGGAGGTGGCAGTGTACCAAAACTCTGGTAATGAATGACGCAGGATCCCCAGGCAGGTAGCAAGGATTGCTCCCTATTGCCAAAACCCCAGCCTTTTTAAGCAGTTAGCCTGTTACTGGTTTACACAGTTTTAAGGCACAACAAGCCCAAGTCAAGTAACAACCCTACACATGTGGACATCATGTGGACACGTGGCAGTCACACAGCATGTCTCACATCTCTCATGTCTCATCTCTGATGTTTCTCTATCCTTATTCCAGCTGAGTCTCCCATAGTTCCCTTCTACTTAGCCTAAGTACCAGGCTGGAGCCATGTTACAAGGCCTTCCCTTTATAAAGCCTTACCTATTGGTAGCATGTGTTAACTAACAACTTCTGAATTTTTTTTCATCAACTAGTTAGATGAAGAGAAATAACATTAGGAAAAAAGACAAACCGATAATTGTGAAGGAAGAGTGAAGAATGAGGTGAAGAGGCAAGAGGAGAAAGTGAAAGAGATCAGGTGTGATTGCATTTCCTATGGCAGCTGAATGCTGCAATGAGGGTGCCCAGGGTTGGTGTCCATACGTATAGACAATGTAAAGAAAAACTGTGTAGACAATTCATATCATCCTTGCCAGGAGTATCATGCTTAAAGAAGTATGATTCCTTAAATGACTGCATGAACAGCAGTCCCACTGTGCTGTAGAATGTAGTAGAAATGTAGTAGAAAGAAGAATGTAGACCAGCAAAATGTGTTGTTACTGAAGTCCCTCAATTAGGATCATGCAGCTGTTTTGCTGAGGAAGTGCAAGAGACGCATTAGGGAGATGGCAGGTGGAAAGAAGTTCCCCATTTTAAATGCTGCCTTTCCTTGTTTCCTCCTCAGGGGATACAGCATCGGCATAAGACTGATTGATGACTTTTTGGCTCGTTCAGCTGTGAAAAAGTGCCGTAGTTACTCTGAAACGGCACACATGATTGCACAGGTAAATAAGATTTGTATTTTCTAAAGCATCATCAGATTGAGTGATCTTAGAATCATATATTCCCTTCGTTTTGTCTCTTCCTAGGAGAATAAGTCTTAACTGTCTCATACAGATGTTAAACTTTGATATTTTTACTTCTGCTATTTGACTTTTCTCATCATTGCCATAACTATCTTAGATATATTTTTACTTTTAAATGGTAATATTAAGAACAAGCTGCAGGATTTTGTGCAAAATGAAAAATCTCAGTGGTAGCAAAGAAGAACTGTAAGAAAGGAAAATGAGAGGAACATTTTCCTGACTGCCCACAAATCTAATAATAAAATCAAAAAGATAAAATCAGAGCAGATACTTTCTCCTACTTTGATGGAAATTTCCCTTTCATTGAGCAGCTGCTCACACTTCTGTTGGACAACAAAGACACAGGTTTCTAAAAATGTACTTTTGCCCCCATTGGCAAGTTAGAATTCTAGGGAATTTCAAAGAGAAATTTAAATAAGAATACATAACAAAATTCCTCCGGGTAAGAAGCTGAGCTAGGATAGACCATCCATTGGAAATGGTGAAGGCAGCTGAATGAAATGGATGAGACAAGCAGCATTTCAATCACTGTTTTAAAATACACTGCCTCATTTAAGAAAATGATAGCAGCCTGCAAAATTGAATTGTTGTTCACTTTTGCATTCTTCTTCAGGTGGTATTAGTACTTTATTTTCACATATATGTCAGATACCTGGTTTTCTGGGTCTTATTCCTCATAGTTCCTTTCTTTACAAATGCATTATTACAGTTGAACCTTCATTCTTAAGTACATGGTATTCAACAGCAAAGTGCAGTGAGAAATTAACAATGGAAAAAGACACCATTTCTCTGCAGCTTGTATTTCCAAAGAGACTCATTAAGAGAAGTAAAAAATTACTTGGAAAGACTGGGACAAACATTAAAGCACACACTGTCCCTTTGAAAGACTATTTTTAGCAAACTAAAAGGAGTTCTGTAGTAGGAGTATAACATTTCTGAGGCAAAATGTGATATGTACAGCATTTTCACATTTCTTTGGCAAAACAATTTTTAAATAATCTTCAAGCACATTTGTCTGAGACACATGCCAACAAAACATGTCTTAAGTGACCCAGTAAGGAGCTGCAAATACTCTACTACAGTTTTTAGCTCAGAATCACAAAGCTGTTTACATGATCTCCTTAACTCTTCAGCAAGAGTGTTCCCAGCCAGGAGAAAGTGCTTAAATGTTTAACTGCATTAAGTCTTCAGAAGTACAAATCTGTTTGAGGATGAGTAAAACCAGTTCAAAGTTAAAGTAATTAAGACAGTTCGGCAATTCAAGTAGTTAAAAGCCAAACCTCCTGTTAACATAGCTATTATCCTTCAGTTCTTTGGAAAACAAAGAAGTCTGTAAGATCAGGCTGTGGGTGTTCCCTGTGGAAATGGAAAGAGATGAAGCAAAAGAAAAAAAGAAAAAAAGAGAACTACAAAGCCAGCTTCCCAGGTTAAGAAATAAATACTGGAGGAAAGGTGCACCTAAAGCAGTAATTGGGAGCTTAAATCTTCCACCACTGGTTCAGATTGCAAAGCCTGGGCTAATTTATACTGGCCTGGAGAAGGGCCAACAAGTTTTGATGAGGAGCCAAAGTGAGCCCTTCTACACTGAGTTCCCATGGTGTTCTCTGTCTTCTCATGTTGGTCCTGTGACTTGGCAGGGTTACAGTTGGGATTGAGTTAGAAAAGACATGAAACAGGACATGTGAAAGTAGGCTTTCTGGCAAATTGGGGGAAGAAATGGAAACCAACTGAGGAATGATATTAAGAACAAAGCCCAGCTGAAGAAGTAATGTCCAAGATGGGATTCAGAATTTGAATCTGAGGATTACTTTTGAAATGAGGTTGATAATTTTTCTCTATAATCCTGCAAGACTGAGGAATGATATTAAGAATAAAGCCCAGCTGAAGAAGTAATGTCCAAAATGGGATTCAGAATTTGAATCTAACTGAGGATTACTTTTGAAATGAGGTTGATAACTTTCTCTATAATCCTGCAAAAACAAAATTTTAGTTCAATTTCTCTTCAAAGACCTTGACATAATTGATCTGATCTAATGAGTTGCAAAAAAACAGCTTCTGGTTTTAGATCTAATGTTTATGTTACCTTCACTAACACGAGGAGATGTTTGTCTGTGCCAGCAATGGAAGCAGCCTGACCACACCCTCTGGTCCACAGCAAACTGTTGCTGGCTCACGGGCTGGATTAAATAGTGCCTAAGGATAAATCTGTTCCTGAAAAGCAGTGGCTGCAGAGATGGGCTTTATTATGGACACTTAGTACCCTGTGAACACAGGAAACGAACATCTCTGGAGGTCTTTGAAGAGAGCTCCCTGGGGGGCGATAACAAAGGATGGGGTAATCCAACCATGTCACCCCCTGTCCAGAGCTGTAGGACAGGAAAAGTCCTTTCCTGTGTCATGGAAGGTGCTGCCACACAAGGTCCCTGGATATTGACATATGGCCAGTTTGAAGGTCTGACAGAGCTGGCAGAATTTATGAAGCTGGTAAATGTTGGTTTTTAGATCTCAGCAGGGAGAAGGAAATGCATAAGCAGGTTGCTGTGCTAAGTAATACAGCCTACTGTGGTAGACAGTAAACAGGACATTGAAGTGCTGCACTGTGGAGAGTAAAGGAAAGGTCAGAAGAAAAGTTTGGAATCGGCAACAGATGGCAAAACCTTTACTATATCTTCCTCTTTCCAAACACTGACAGGAAAAATACTAAGAATAAAAAGTATGCTAGCAGAAATATTATTTTGGCTGCCTTTCCCCTTTCAAGCAGATGAATTCTGGTCCTTCATTAATCTTGCTATTATGCTGTCTGAAATCATGGTTTCAATTTCTTTAACAGTCCGTACTTACTTGGTGTCATGACTTATGCATAAAAAGTTTGGAAGTGAAAAGTCCCCAGTAGCATGTAGAGGGACTGAAAAGTTAGTGGCTTCCTAAATATTCCAGTAATTCTAGGCTGTGTTTGAGCACCATCAAAATGTTAATGATTTTTATTCTTGCTGCTTGAGAGAGATGGAATTCTGACTGAGTTTTTTAAAAAGGGCAGAGATACATTTTTAATTCAAACTGTTCAGATGTATTTTCTCATTATGCAATGTATAATGTCATAGAGTTGCAAATAACATTTTCAAAAGTGAGGTTTTACTTTAAATGGGCATAATTTTGCTGAAAAAAAAATGTACATGTCTAAACAGACATTCTTCTTCCATTTGATCAATAAAAACGAGACAGATTTATGGGATGCAAGTTTTAAACCACCTCATTCATTTTACCTTCTAGTCTTTTGGAGTCACAACGACTGAGAAGACCTTTTTTTTATCCTCTGAGAAGCTGTAAATGGTGGTTTTAAAGTAGTTGCTGTTCAGTTATAGCCTGGTTTTAAGAAAAAAGTCTTTTATATTCATTTATTTGCTTATCTATGCATTTAAATTATTGTTCCTGCCAAGACATTTTCACAATTTTCACCCTATATCTTTGCAATTTGGCGCTCCATTTCAAACCAGCTACTTCTTTTGCATAGTTTCCTTGCAAGTTCTCTTTTTCATAGGAATTTTTAACAATAGAATTTGGACAGATTCATCATACCATAATGCAAAGCACAGCTGAAACTAAATTGAGAGTATATGAGGGCTTAGCATGGTTAAAAAGTCTTTATTCTTATAACAAAAACTTCAAGTTTGATGGAGGAGCAGATGTGTAGTGGAAGAAGAGCTAAGAGAATTTAAAGACCAAACTGAGGGACAGAGCACAGAGGATTAAACAGAATTTCCCTATTTTCTTGTATACTCATATTTTGACAGGTATCAAAAATAATGCAAAATCTAAATTTTCCAGCAGAAAGTGTTGATCTTGCTGTTTGGTTTTATTTGTTGGGTGTTTTTCTCTCCCTCCAGTTTGTTTTGGACAGTGTTGACAATAGTCTTGTCTCTTTCTGAGCTGCCATGGTAGCTGCTGGATTCAGAAACAATGCTGATGGAAAGCAACTTTTGCAATATCCCCTTGAAGGACTAAGTTAAATTTTTCAAACCCACATGCCAGTTGGAAAGATAGGGTCAAACTGGCTGTTATTTCAGTCTATTTTCACAGAAGTATTCTAGGATCCACATGGAAATTGCATTGAGTCGGAGGTGTTTTGATAAAAGAGTCACACAGCCCTGAGAATGGGGATCAGGGAGAGATGGGCTCCTACCAGGCACACATTGCAGCACAAAATGTTCAGCAGCTGCTCTTGGGGCTGGAGACACTCTCAACATAAGCTACCTGCAAACATGAAGCAGGCAAGGAGGGGGAGAGGGAAATTCATCTTGGATTTGCCCCTCCACAATAAAGCAGAAGGTAGGGCTGGGAAATGCTGCCATTTCAGATGGCTTGGGCTACTCAGGTGCAGAGTCCTAAGCTTTCTTCTGAGGGAAAAGAGGATGCCAAAAGCTCTAAGTGGGATCACTCTGTTCTCCTACCCTTCACTCTACCAGCTATGCTTCTGCCTCTGTGTCCCAGCTATTACATCACACTGGAGACCTTATCTTTACCTCAACCCACTTGTTTCCCATATTTCTTTGACCAACTCATTAACCTACCTGCTGTCCTCCCCATTACATCCCTGCTTGCTTTGACTTTCTGAGGAAAGAGGTGGAGAGACAGTTTTGGAAAGGGAAATTTGGCCCAGGGGGTAGTGTCTGTTTTCTCCCTGTGTGTGCAGGGAGGAGGAGAATTGGGGCTGGACAGAAGATGCTGGGGCAGTTCTCAAAAGGAAGGATAAAACCAAGACAAGTAGGAGGGGTCGTATAGACTGCAAGTAGGTAAGTGCTATACCAGGAGAAGCTCCTGGGGAGAAAATGGTTGGTGTATGTGCCAGGCACAGTGTCACACATCTGCTGTTGTGACTTTCATTTTGGCAGTGTTGCATCTGTGCTTTCAGCTACAGCAGG